CTCCTTCACCCGCATCAAGAGGCTCTTTAGTTCCTCTTCACTTTCTGCCATTAGAGTGGTATCATCTACATATCTGAGGTTGTTGATATTTCTCCTGGCAATCTTAATTCCAACTTATGATTCATCCAGCCCCACCTTTCTCATGATGTGCTCTGCATATAAGTTAAATAGGCAGGGCGACAGTATACAGCCTTGCCGAACTCCTTTTTCAATTTTGAACCAATCTGTGGTTCTGTGTCCAGTTCTCACTGTTGCTTCTTGATCCGCATATAGGTTTCTCAAGAGACAAATAAGATGGTCTGGTACTCCCATCTCTTTAAGAACTTGCCACAATTTGTGGTGATCCACACAATCAAAGGCTTTAGCATAGTCAATGAAGCAGAAGCAGATGTTTTTCTGGAACTCCCTAGCTTTCTCCATGATCCAGCGCATGTTGGCAATTTGATCTCTAGTTCCTCTTTGATATCCTGCCTGTACTTCTGGTAGTTCTCGGTCCACACACTGCTGCAGCCTAGCTTGTAGGATTTTGAGCATCACTTTGTTAGCATGTGAAATGAGTGCAATGGTGCAGTAGTTTGAACATTCTTTGGCATTGCCCTTCTTTGGGATTGGAATGTAAACTGACCTTTTCCAATCCTGTGGCCACTGTTGAGTTTTCCAAATTTGCTGGCATATTGAGTATAGCACTTTTACTGCATCGTCTTTTAGGATATTGAATAGCTCAGCTGGAATAATGTCGCCTCCATTAGCTTTGTTGTTGCTGAGACCTCCTATGGCCCATCTGACTTCACATTCCAGGAAGTCTGGCTCGAGGTCAGTGACCACCCCATTGTAGTTATCAGGGATATTAAGCTCTTTCTTGTACAGTTCTTCTGTGTAATCTTGCTACCTCTTCTTAATCTCTTCTGCCTCTGTTAGGTTCCTTCCATTTTGGTCCTTTATCATGCCCATCTTTGCATGAAACGTTCCCTTCATATCTCCAATTTTCTTGAAGAGATCTCTGGTCTACCCTATTCTATTGATTTCTTCTATTTATTTGCACTGTTCATTTAAGAAGGCATTCTTATCTCTTCTAGCTATTCTCTGGAATTCTGCATTCAATTGGGTGTATCTTTCTCCCTTCCCTTTCACTTCCTTTCTTTCCTCAGCTGTTTGTAAAGCTTCCTCAGACAGCCATTTTGCTTTCTTGCATTTCTTTTTCTTTGAGAAGTTTTTAGTTGCTACCTCTTGTACAATGTTGCAAACCTCCGTCCATAGTTCTGCAGGCACTCTGTCTATCAGATCTAATTCCTTAAATCTATTCGTCACCTCTACTGTATATTCATCACGAATATAATTTAGGTCATACCTGAGTGGCCTAGTGCTTTTCCCTGCTTTCTTCCATTTAAGCCTAAATTTTGCAACAAGATGCTCATGATCTGAGCCACAGTCACCTCCTGGTCTAGCTTTTACTGACTGTATAGAGCTTCTCCATCTTTGGCTGCAGAGCATATAGTCAATCTGATTTCTGTGTTGACCGTCTGGTGATGTCCATGTGTAGAGTCATCTCTTGGGTTGTTGGAAAAAAGTGTTTGCTATGACCATCGTATTCTCTTGACAAAATTCTACCAGCCTGTGCCTTGCTTCATTTTGTACTCCAAGGCTAAACTTGCTTGTTATGCCAGTTATCTTTTGGCTTCCTAGTTTAGCATCCCAATCCCCCATGATGATAAGGACATCATTTTTTGTGTTATTTCAACAAGGTGTTGTAGGCCTTCTTAGAACTGGTCAACCTCAGCCTCTTCAGCATCAGTGGTTGGGACATAGACTTGGACTATCGTGATGTTGAATGGTTTTGCCTTGGATTCAAACTGAGATCATTCTGTCATTTTGGAGACTGTATCCCAGTACTGCTTTTCCTACTCTTTTATTGACTATGAAGGCTACTCCATTTCTTCTGAGGGATTCTTGCCCGCAGTAGTGTACCTGATGGTCATCTGAATTAAATTCATCCTTTCCTGTCCCTTTTAGTTCACTGATTCCTAAGATGTCTATGTTCAGTCTTGTCATCTCTTGTTTGACCACATCCAGCTTGCCTTGATTCTTGGATCTTACATTCTAGGTTCCTATGGAGTATAGACCTTTACAGCATCGAACTCTCCTTTTACCACCAGATACATCTGCAACTGAGTGTCCTTTCGGCTTTGACCCAATCGCTTCATTCTTTCTGGCGCTACTAGTACTAGTCCTCTGCTCTTCCCCAGTAGCACATTGGACACCTTCCAACCTGAGGGGCTCATCTTCTGGTGTCATATCTCTTTACCTGTTGATACTGTCAATGGGGTTTTCATGGCAAAGATACTGCAGTGGGTTGCCATTTCCTTCTCCAGTGGATCACGTTTTGTCAGAGCTCTCTGCTATGACCTGTCCATCTTGGGTGGCCCCGCATGGCATCGCTCATAGCTTCATTGAGCTACACAAGC